GCATTGGCCAGCCGCCCCACGAGTCTTGCGACGAGAGGTTGAGCGATTGAGAGGTCATTGAGCCGTCGGCAACGTAGAGGGCGAGCAACGCCGCCACGAGCACGAGGGAGGCCACGACGCCGAGAAGCTGTCGCAGCGATGCCGCCGGGAGGTCGGCGTGCATCGCACACAGCCGACTCCTCACTGAGCTGCGGGGCCGCGGCCGGCGTGCGGCGTCCTGCGCGATTTCGACCCTGCGCGCCTGCGCACCAGCATGAGGCGGGGTGAGATGGCGCCGCTCCGCGGAACCGTTGTTGCCAACCGGCGGAAAAGTAGTGGTCGTGCTACGGCGCTCGGCGTTCACGGGGGAGGCAATGCTATACGGCGGCGGCCTTGGTTTCCTCCGGAAAGGTCTGGGTGAGCAGCCGGGATAGCAAGTGGTTGATCGCTAGCACTTGAGAGGCGGGCTGGCGACAGACTGGGCACGCGGCGGTCCGCCGAAGCGCCGTCTGGACGCAGCGCGAGCAGAACGTGTGGCCGCACTGCAACGACGCGGGCTCGTGCAGGATGGAGAGGCAGATGGCGCAAGTGACATCGTCGAGAAGCACGCACTCGTCTCCAATCTCGAGCACGCTCATCTGCGCGTCCACGGCCGACGTGCCCCCCGCCTTGTTTGGCTGCGCCGAGACCTGCGCCGCGACCATGGTTGATTCGGTCCTGCGGTTGCCGCCCCTCGGCAACGACGACGGACGGTTTCGGCGCAATGTGATTTGAGGTTTCTAACCACACTCCAAGTGCTCCAAGATCCGCAGTCCACGCTTCCCCAACGCACTATCGTCCACCTTCTTCAGTGTATGTAGCTCTTACGAACATACCCGAGGGTGAACTGAGGAGCGATCCGAACGTGGTATTCGGGTGATTGGATCACTCTTTAGTCTACTGCTCGAATTCCGTGAAAAAATAAAACGTGGCCGCGAATCGTGCACTCTGATTCCAGGCTGACCCAGAGGGGCTGGCGGTTCGCTCGCCCGTGTCCGGCGATGGGACTGGCTGCTTGGGGCTGGCTATGGGACTGGCTAGTTCGTCGGTCAGGGTCGGCTGGCTATGGGACTGGCTGCTTGGGACTGGCTATGGGACTGGCTGCTTGGGGCTGGCTATGGGACTGGCTGCTTGGGACTGGCTATGGGACTGGCTGCTTGGGGCTGGCTATGGGACTGGTTGCTTGGGACTGGCTATGGGGCTGGCTATGGGC